GCGGGAATTACTAGAGAATATTTGAGGTTGTTTTGGATGGTAGCGGAAAATATAGTGTGTGAAAACGTGCGGTGTAGCCGATTTTTCAGTTACGGTGTCAAGGTTCGACGCAGACTGGCCTCTCCAACTGCCCCCGTTTAGATTCCGTGTAATTTTAATTTTATTCTATTTTATAATCATGTCTACTGATAATTTTGGCTGAAACTTGTATCTGAAAAAATGCTCAGAAAGAGGCCAAAATTTTCAAAAGAGATTTAAAATTTGAGTTTTTGGCAAAGTTTTCTAAAAATTTACAAACAATTTTGGTATATAAATCAATCAGATGAGTCGAAAAACAGGCTGTTGATAGTCCTGACCAAGTTTTTCCAACTCATCCTTTCCAAAATCCTGATTTTTTAAATATTTCAAAAATTGTCATTCTTTATTTTCGTAATTTTGGAAGTATAGATAGAATTTTCAAAGAAATGTTGCTGAAAATGACTTTTGGAAGTTGAGAGCAAAAGGAAAACAGTAATTTTTGAAAGTGCTCGGAAAAAAGTAAAAAATGTCAAAACCGATAAAAAATTTGAAATTTTGACAAATTGGTCTAAAAATTCACAAAACATTCCGGGAAATAAATCTCGGCAAACTGGTTCAAAAAACACCGTGTTGATAGACCAAGATTTTCGAAATTTGCTGTCTCAAAGTTTGATTTTTTAAATATCTTAGAAGTGGTCATATTTTATTTTCGAAATTTTGGGTTTAAAAATACAATTTTTAAAATATTCTAAAGTTGGCCATATTTCACTTTGGTGAGAAATCGGGTTGAAGTTTTCGAAGAATTGTTACCAAAAACGACTTCTGCAAGTCAAAATCAACAAGAAAAGATTTTTTGGAAATTTTTGCAATTTCTCGGGAAAAGCTCAAAAATTTCAAAATGGATTGAAAATTTTGCCTTTTGCATAAAATCCACAAAAATCTCTGGGAAATAAATTTTGAAAAACTGCTTCGAAAAACAACGTGTTGATAGACCCAGACCAAGATTTTCGAAATTTTCGGTTTCAGAGACAGATTTCAAAAATATTCCAAAAATGGTCATTAGTTATTTTCATGACACTAGAAATCCGGTTGGAGTTTTCGAAGAAATGTTGTCGAAAATGACTTCTACAAGTCGAAATCAACAAAAGAATAATGTCCTTGTGTATTTTTCGAAAGTGCTCTGAAAAAGCTCAAAAATTTCAAAAAGGATTGAAAATTTGAGCTTTTGGCAAAGTTCCATCTAAATCAATAAAAAATCTGGGATATAAATCTCGACAAACTGGTTTAAAAAACTGCGTGTTGATAGTCCTAGACCAAGATTTTCGAAATTTCTAGTTTCAGAATCAGATTTTTAAAATTTCTCCAAAAGGGCCACATTTCATTTTGGTGATTTTAGAAATTTAGAATGTTGGAAATGACTCTCCCTAGTTGAAATCTTTTTCTTGGTGATTTTCGAAGGTGCTCGGAAAAAGGTCAAAAATTTTCAAAACGGATTGAAAATTTGAGCTTTTGGCAAAGTTGCATACAAAACCCACAAAAAATTCAGGGATATAGATATCGACTAGCTTATTCGAAAAACAGCTTATTGAGGGTCTTTACCAAGTTTTTCGAACTTATCGTTTCCAAAATCCTGATTTTTTAAATGTTTCAAAAATTGCCATAGTTTATTTTGGTGATTTTTGAAATATGGATGGAAATTTCGGAGAAATGTCTTATGGCAACTTTTGAGACTTCTCGGAAAAAAGTCAAAAATTTCAAACAGGATTAAAAATTTGAGCTTTTGGCAAAACTACCTAAAAATTCACAAAAAATTCTGAGAAATAAATCGCTACAAACTGGCTTGAAAAACAGCGTGTTATAGCCCCAGATCAATATTTTTGAAATTTCCAGTTTCAAAATCAGATTTTCAGAAATTTAAAAAATTTTTCCAAAATGGCCACAATTCTTCATTTTGGCGATTCTAGAAATCTGGTTGGAATTTTCAAAGAAATGTTACCAAAATGACTTCTGCAAGACGAAATCAACAAAAGAATGTCCTTTGGTAATTTTTGAAAGTGCTTGAATAAGCTGAAACATTTGAAAATGGATTGAAAATTTGAGATTTTGGCAAAGTTGAACAAAAATCCACAAAAAATTGAAGGGTATAGATATCGACCAGCTGATTCAAAAAACAGCCTGTAGATGGTCTGAGCAAGATTTTCGAACTTTTCACTTTCAAAATCTTGATTTTTAAAATATTTCAAAAATAGCCATATTTCATTGTGGTGATTTTGGAAATATGGATGGAATTTTCCAAAAAATGGTTCCCAAAATGACTTCTGTAACACGAAATCAACGAAAAAATGTCCTTTGGTAATTTTTGAAAGTGATTGAGAAAATGTCAAAAGTTTCAAAAAGGGTTAAAAATTTGAAATTTTGACAAAGTTACCGAAAACCCCAGAAAATATTCTGGGACCTACATCTCGACAAACTGGTTCGAAAAACGTGTTGATAGTCCCAGACCAAGATTTTCCAAATTTCCAGTATCAAAATCAGATTTTTGAAATTACTCAAAAATTGCCACATTCCTTCATTTTGACGATTCTAGAAATCTGGCTGGAATTTTTGAGGAAATCTTTCCGAAAATGACTTTTGCAATACGAAATCAACAAAAAAATGTCTTTTGGTAATTTTTGGAACTGCTCGAACAAAGGTCATAAATTTCAAACAGGATTAAAAATTTGAGCTTTTGGCAAATCTACCTAAAAATCCGCAAAAAATTCTGAGAAATAAATCGCTACAAACTGGTTTAAAAAACAGCGTGTTATAGTCCCAGATCAAGATTTTTGAAATTTCCAGTTTCGAAATCAGGTTTTCAGAAATTTAAAAAATTTTTCAAAAATGGTCACAATTCTTCATTTTTCAATTTCTCGATTTTACATCAGTTTTTCGCTTTTTCATTTCCTTTATTTTTTCAATGTTCCTTTCGATTTTATATTTTTTCTTTTATTCAATTTTTCAAATTTTGAAGACTTTAATTTCTCGTATTTTCAATTTTTGGATGTTTTAATTTTTACATTTTTCGATTTCTGAGTTTAATTTTTCCAGTTTCTTGAGTTTTAATTTTCCATTTTCATTTTTTGAATTTTTTGCTTGTCAATTTTAGGGTTTCATGATTTTTCCATTTTTCGGTTTTTTTGTTTGTTTCTTTAAATTTTCGATTTAATAGTTTTCACTATGACAATTTTTCAATTTTTCGTTTATCAGGTTCTCCATTTTGAATTTTTTCAGCTTTTGTATTTGTTTTACAATTTCTCGATTTTTCAGTTTTTTGATTTTCATTATCTCCATTTTCAATGTTTCAGTTTTTCATTTTTTTTAGTCTTTCGATTTTAGAATTTTCAATTTTTAGATTTTTTTTATTTTTCGATTTCTCAATTCTTAGATGTTTCAATTTTTCGTTTTATCAGGTTTTTTAGTTTCAGTTATTCGATTTTAATTTTTAAATTTTTCAGTTTTTCATTTCTTTAATTTTTTGATTTACAGTTCTTCGATCTTCCTATTTTGCGGTTTCTCAATTTTTAGTTGTTCCGAATTTTAAATGTTTCTTATCAGTTTTCAATTTTTAAAATTTCTCTATTTGCTATTTCTCGATTTTACGATTTTTCAATTTTTAATTTTTTCGCTTATAGTTTCTCCATTTTTCAATTTTTTAATTTTCAGTTTCTTTATTAATTTTTTTTTGTTTCTTTTCGATCTTAGTTTTTCGATTTCCTTTATTCTTTCAATGTTTCTTTCGATTTTATATTTTTTCTTTTATTCAATTTTTCAAATTTTCAATTTTTGGCTTTTCAACTCCTCGATTTTCCAATTTTTAAAATTTTCATTGTAGCAATTTTTAGATTTTCAATTATCTGATTTTCCGACTTTTGATTTTCAATATTTCAATTTTACAATACATGTTTCGTTTTATCGATTTTTCAATTTTTCGTTTCTTCAATTTTACAAGTTTTTGATTTCCAATTTTTTTATTTTTCAAAGCTTTCATTGTATATTTTTTCGTTTTTTCATTTTTGGTTTGTCAATTTTACAAATCTGCAATTTTTCATTTTTTTTAATCGAAAAGTCAAAAAATCGATAAATCCAAAAATTAAAAATCCAAAAATTAAAAGTTATAAAAAATTTAAAAATCGAAAAATTGCAAATCGAAGCATCGAAGCAATGAAAAATTGAAACATTGAAAAATTAAAAATCGAAAAAAATTAATGAATCGAAAAATTAGAAAGAAGAAAAAAACAATTGAATCGAAAAATTGAAAAACCCAAAAATTGTGAAATTGAAAAAATTAAGTATCGAGAAACCGAAAATTTAAAAAACGAAAAATTGAAAAATCGAATAAAATCCAATAATTCAAAAATGGAAAAATCCCAAAATGGGAAAAATATAAAACTGCAAAATTTTAAAAATTGTAATTATTATAACAAATTTAAAATGAAAAGTAGGGAAACTGAAGAAATGAAAAATTGTAAAATTGAGAAACTGAAAAATTTTAAACTGAATAAACGAAAAATTAAAAAATCTAAAATTGAAAAAATGAAAAACTGGCAATTTGAACTTGAAACCTCGAAAAATTGAAAATCGAAAAACTGAAAAAACAAAAAAAGATTAAATTGAACAACTGAAAAAATCAAGTCATAAAAGCTGCGGTTATCAGAAAACAAAAATCGTAAAAAAATATAATTTTTCAAGGAAACGGGATTCATTTTTGGGTAATTTTTGAAAGTGCTCGGAAAAAGTAAATAAATTCACACTTCTGCCCTAATAAAATTAAAGTTAGTTTTCTCTTTTTATTCGTTGATAATAATGCAATTATTCTGTGACAGGGTGATTACAACCCTTTGGAAAATTAAGTTATCATGGTCAATATTGTGATTAATATTCTTAAAACGTCCCCTAATAGTAAAACTTCTTGCAACTACTCTCAAAGTCGCCTCTGCCCGCAGGTGCCGTGAAGATAACCCCGGCCCACGACCCCTCCGACTTCGCCGTGGCCAAGCGGCACTCTCTGCCCATCCTGCAGGTGATCGATGAAAAGGGCAACATCGCCCCCGACCACGGGATCTTCTCCGGGCTGCCACGGTTCGCCGGCCGGGATGCGGTCGTGGCCAGCCTCCAAGCCGCGCACTTAATGCGGGAGAAACGCGGCCACAGGATGGTCGTCCCGGTTTGCAGCAGGTCAAAGGACGTCGTCGAGCACCTGGTCAGGCCTCAGTGGTTCCTCAAGTGCGCGGAAATGGCCAGGCAGGCCGTCGAGGACGTCAGGGAGGGACGACTGCGGCTCGAGCCGGGCCGCTTCGAGAGGGTCTGGTTCGATTGGCTGGAGAACGTGAGGTAATTAATAAAGAGGGGGTTTTAGGGTAACTAAAGGCCAAAATAAATAAAATAGAATAGGCGATAAACAAACGAGATTTAGGTCCGAAAATGGCAAAATAGGCGCATTAGGGGAGTTATTTTGTTATTTTGCATAATCCGCGATCTTAATCTTCGTTAAAAAATTGAAAAATAGGAATTTAGAAGGACTGAAAATCGAAAAATCGAAACTTCAAAAAATCGAAAAAATGAAAAATTTGAAAATCTAAAATTTAAAAACCGAAAAACGAAAATTTCTCTATTAGTTGATGTTTCAGATTTTCAATGTTTGGATGTTCAATTATTAGATTTCATTTAGGAATTTTTTAATTTCTCAATGTTTCAGTTTTTTGATTTTTCGATTTTCCAATTTTTAGATTTCTCAATTTTTTGATGTTTTAGTTTTGGAATTTTTCAGTTTTTAGGTTCTTCAATTGTTTTAGATTTTCCAATTTTTCGACGTTTCAACTTTTCGATTTCTCAATTTTTCGATTTCTGGATTTCTGTTTTTTCGTTTTTCTATTTCCCAATTTTTCGTCATTTCAGTTTTGAAATTTTTCACTTTATCCATTTTTTAGTTTTTTGACTCCTCAATTTTCCAATTTTTCAATTTTTCAATTTTTCGGTTTTTTGATTTTCCAATTTTTCTCGATTTTTCACTTTTTTATTTTTTTGATATTTCAATTTCTCGATTTTCCAATTTTTCGATATTTTTTAAATTTTAGATTTTTCGATTTCTCGATTTCTCGATTTCTCGATTTTTCAATTTTTCAGTTCTTTAATATTTCTGTCTTAATTTTTCTAATTTTTGAATGTTAAATTTTTCAGATTTTTTATGTTCCATCTTTCGACTTTTCGACTTCTCACTTTTAGATTTTTCGGTTTTTTAATTTTTCGATTTTTAAAATTTTTGATTTTTTAGTTTTTCAATTTTCCATTTTTTCTCTTTCTCTATTTATCGATATTTTTAAAATTTAAAATTTAAAATTTTTTCTTTTTAGTTTTAAACTTTCAATTTTTCATTTTTTAAGTTTCGGATTTTTCCATTTTGTTTAGGTATTTTTCAATGTATCGATTTTTTTATTTTTAAATTTTTAATTTATTTTATAATTATTAATTTTCAATTCTGCATTTTCAACTTTTCGATTTTCCGATTTTTCGACGTCCCTAATTTTCCATTTCTCGATTTTTCGATGTTTCAGTTTTTCGATATTTTGATTTCGCGGTTTTTCAGTTTTTCGACTTTTCGGCTTTTCAAGTTTTAGATTTATCGATTTTTCCTGATTTCAGTTTGGAATTTTTTAATTTCTCGATGTTTCAGTTTTTTGATTTTTCAATTTTCCAATTTTTAGATTTCTCAATTTTTTGATGTTTTAGTTTTGGAATTTTTCAATTTTTAGGTTCTTCAATTGTTTTCGATTTTCCCATTTTTCGACGTTTCAACTTTTCGATTTCTCAATTTTTGGATTTCTGGATCTTCTGATTTTCCGATTTTTTTTTTGATATTTCAGTTTCCCGATTTTTCAATTTTTCAGTCCCCAATTTTTGTATATTTTAATTTTCCAATTTTTTTAATTTTAGACTTTTCGATTTCTCGATTTTTCGATTTTTCGGTTCTTCAGTATCTCTATTTTTCATTTTTCTAATTTTTAAATGTTAGTTAGATTTTCAGTTTTTTGATGTTTCAATTTCCCGATCTTTTGATTTTTCGACTTCATAGCTTTTGATTTTTCGGCTTTTCAATTTTTCAACTTAAAAACCGAGAAACGAAAACTTGACTTTTTAATTTATCTATTACTCGATGTTTCACTTTTTCAATTTTTGGATGTTTCGATTTTTTGATTTTTCGCTTTTTCGATTTTTCGAGTTTTTAGCTTTTCAATTAATTAAGTTTTTTCAATTTTTCAGTTCTTTAATATTTCTGTCTTAATTTTTCTAATTTTTGAATGTTAAATTTTTCAGGTTTTTTATGTTCCATCTTTCGATTTTTCGACTTCTCACTTTTCGATTTTTCGGTTTTTTAATTTTTCGATTTTTAAAATTTTTGATTTTTTAGTTTTTCAATTTTCCATTTTTTCTCTTTCTCTATTTATCGATATTTTTAAAATTTAAAATTTAAATTTTTTTCTTTTTAGTTTTAAATTTTCAATTTTTCATTTTTTAAGTTTCGGATTTTTCCATTTTATTTAGGTATTTTTCAATGTATCGATTTTTTTATTTTTAAATTTTTAATTTATTTTATAATTATTAATTTTCAATTCTGCATTTTCAACTTTTCGATTTTCCGATTTTTCGACGTCCCTAACTTTTCGATGTTTCAGTTTTTCGATATTTTGATTTCGCGGTTTTTCAGTTTTTCGGCTTTTCAAGTTTTAGATTTATCGATTTTTCCTGATTTCAGTTTGGAATTTTTTAATTTCTCGATGTTTCAGTTTTTTGATTTTTCAATTTTCCAATTTTTAGATTTCTCAATTTTTTGATGTTTTAGTTTTGGAATTTTTCAGTTTTTAGGTTCTTCAATTGTTTTCGATTTTCCCATTTTTCGACGTTTCAACTTTTCGATTTCTCAATTTTTGGATTTCTGGATCTTCTGATTTTCCGATTTTTTTTTGATATTTCAGTTTACCGATTTTTCAATTTTTCAGTCCCCAATTTTTGTATATGTATTTTAATTTTCCAATTTTTTTATTTTTAGATTTTTCGATTTCTCGATTTTTCGATTTTTCGATTTTTCGGTTCTTGAGTATCCCTATTTTTCATTTTTCTAATTTTTAAGTCTTAGATTTTTAGTTTTTTGACGTTTCGATTTCCCGACTTTTCGATTTTTCGACTTCACAGTTTTTAATTTTTCGACTTTTCAATTTTTCAATTTAAAAACCGAGAAACGAAAAATTGACTTTTCAATTTCTCTATTACTCGATGTTTCACTTTTTCAATTTTTGGATGTTTCGATTTTTTGACTTTTCGCTTTTTCGATTTTTCGAGTTTTTGGCTTTTCAATTAATTAAGTTTTTTTATTTTTCAGTTCTTCAGTTTTTCGATTTTCCCACTCTTAAATTTTTTTATGTTTTAGTTTTGGGATTTTTCAGTTTTTAGATTCTTCAATTTTTTTCGATTGTTCACTTTTTTAATTTTTTTGATATCTCAATTTCTCGATTTTTCAGTGTTTCAAGTCTCCAATTTTTCTATATATTTAAAATGTTAGATTTTTCGATTTCTCGATTTCTCGAGTTTTCGATTTTTCAGTTCTTTAATATTTCTGTCTTAATTTTTCTAATTTTTAAATGTTAGATTTTCAGGTTTTTTATGTTTCCATTTCCACATCTTTCGATTTTTCGACTTCTCAGTTTTTGATTTTTCGGTTTTTTAATTTTTCCATTTTTAAAATTTTCGATTTTATAGTTTTTCAATTTTTCATTTTTTTCCTACTCTATCGATATTTTTTTAATTTGAAATTTTTTCTTTTTAGTTTTAAATTTTCAATTTTTCATTTTTAACTTTCGTATTTTGCCATTTTGGGTTAGGTATTTTTATTTTCCGATATATTTCGGATTCTCGACTTTTCAATTTCTCGATTCCTCGAGTTTTTTCAATTTTTGGGTGTTTCGATTTTTCAGTTTTTTAGTTTTCCAGTTTCCCAATTTTTCGTCATTTCAGTTTTGGAATTTTTCAATGTATGATTTTTTTTATTTTTAAACTTTTTAATTTTTTAATTTTTTGTAAATTTTACTTTTCAATTATTCATTTTCAACTTTTACATTTCTCGACTTTTCGATGTTTTAGTTTTTACAATTTTTCGATGTTTTGATTTCGCGGTTTTTCAGCTTTTCGACCTTTCGGCTTTTCAAGTTTTAGATTTTTCGATTTTTCTTGATTTTAGTTTGGAATATTTTAATTTCTCGATGTTTCAGTTTTATCATTTTTCAGTTTTCCAATTTTTAGATTTCTCAATTTTTTGATGTTTTAGTTTTGGAATTTTTCAGTTTTTAGGTTCTTCAATTGTTTTCGATTTTCCAATTTTTTGATGTTTCGACTTTTCGATTTCTCAATTTTTCGATTTTTCAATTTTTCAGTCCTCAATTTTCCTATATTTTAATTTTTCAATTTTTTAGATTTTAGATTTTTCCATTTCTCGATTTCTCTATTTTTCGATTTTTCGCTTCTTCAGTGTCTCTATTTCTTCATTTTTCTAATTTTTAAATGTTACATTTTTCAGTTTTTTTATGTTTCCATTTCCACATCTTTCGATTTTTCGACTTCTTAGTTTTGGATTTCTCGATTTTTTGATTTTTTCATTTTTAAAATTTTTGATTTTTCAGTTTTTCAATTTTTTAATTTTTCTCTTTCTCTAGTTATTGATATTTTCTAAATTTTAAATCTTTCATTTTTTCTTTAATTTTAAATTTTCAATTTTTAATTTTTTAACTTTCGGTTTTTTCCATATTGGCTTATTTTAATTTTCTGATATTTTTCGGCTTCTCGACATTTCAATTTCTCGATTTGTCGAGTTTTTTCAACTTTTGGATGTTACGATTTTTTGATTTCTCGCTTTTTTCGAATTGTCGATTTTTGGCTTTTCGATTTTTCACTTTTCCAGTTTTCCAGTTTCCCAATTTTTCGTCATTTCAGTTTTGGAATTCTTCAATGTATCGATTTTTTTATTTTTAATTTCGTTAAATTTTTCTAATTTTTTAATTTTCAATTTCTCATTTTCAACTTTTCGATTTCCCGACTTTTCGACGTCTCGAATTTTCCATTTCTCGATTTTTCGATGTTTCAGTTTTTTAATTTCTCGATGTTTCAGTTTTTGATTTTCAGTTTTCCAATTTTTAGATTTCTCAATTTTTTGATGTTTTAGTTTTGGAATTTTTCAGTTTTTAGGTCCTTCAATTAATTTGTTTTCGATTTTCCAATTTTTCGACGTTTCGACCTTTGGGTTTCTCAATTATTCGGTCTCTGGATTTTCTGATTTCTCGATTTTT